CCTTTTTTTTTTTTTTTAGTTTGCATTGAGCTTGGGCGCACTGAACGTAGTAATCTAGTGAACATTTCCTTTTCTCAAAATCCGCTTTAGTTATAGGCTCTAGTTATAGGCATATTAAAATTACGAAAACAAGCAAAAAATAACCTCCTTCATGACGTCCTTGGTCCTCTGTCCCCCCTTTTCCCGCACCCGCAGACCGTGGTGAATGAGGACATGGGGGAGGGAGGGGAAGTCGGGGAAAGGAGATGAGGCCGAGAAGAGGGAGCTACCCGGGAAAGGGACAGCTCTCTCCTCGGCTGACCAGGACCAACAACGTCACGATTACGTCACATGCCGCGCGCGTTCGACACCACGGGGCGCCCCCGTAGGCTGAAGAGGTTTCTGCGTCGTCCGATTAATGACTCACTGATATTTAGTTACTCTCTCCGTGCCCGCTGGCTTGCCCGAACCCCGAGGGACGTGGAAACCGCAAAAAAGGTAGACCATTATTTTTAGCCGAACCGGAGCTGAACCGAACCAAAATCTTTGCCTCCATCTTACAACCGGAACTGGACCGGAAAAAAAAAAGAACGGTAACCAGTTCAAAACGGGTCATTCTAATGATATTTTTCTTTTTGTGTTGATATGACAAAATTAATGTTTGAAAATAAAAACAAATTGAAGTTGTATATCTATTTAACAAATCTTCATATACAGAATTGCAATGTATGAGAAATTGTGGGATTTTGTGGAGCTTTTGTATGCTCCACAAAAAGCTCCACAATTGATAGGCATCTTGTCAAGAGCAAACTTCAACAGCCAGGCTGTGCCAGTTTATCCTGTATAAAAAAATGTTCACTTGGGTAAGCGCTATTTTAGGCCAGATTAGATATGTATACGAAGGTTCTATAGGTTAGAATTACCAATTTTGGTCACTCCTTTTTGCATGATTCTTCACCTGCAGTTGATTGTCGCTGTTTTTGTGTAGACTGAAATGGCTTGTTCTAAAACTATCGTGATATTTTTAAATATTTTTAGCTCAGATGCGTCATCATCATATACAGGGTGATTCAAGGAGAGGCCAGGCTCTTTAAATCGACCGCAAGTTTCTTAACCTATCGCGCTACGACTTTGTGCAGCGTTGCCCACAGATGGTGCATTTCTTTTTTGTAAAATTTGCGAAGAGCGAACGTACCTGAGGAAAAAGTAAAGAAAGAAAAAGGCTTAGCTCTTATGGAAACGCAGCGACGCCACCGGTCTTCAAACAACACGGCGCCGTTTCGCACGGGAGATAAGAGATGGCGCAACGAACGCCGCCAACGAACGAGCATACGGCGCCGAGAGCCGGAGCGCAGCAGGGAGCACGGCTCATTATGCGAGCCACGTGAAACTGCTCAACCTCGGCCAGTGCAGCTCACGCTACAAAAAAAACGGTAAACCTTTTTTGGGAATAAATATACACACACAAACAAAAATTGAATTTTAAAATAAACACCGAAAAAAGTACACCGATTTTTGAAAAAATAAAAACCGAAAACGCGGAACCCTAACTATATTTCACGGTATATATGGCGACCAGGTGCCCATTCCATGATTTTACGCAGCTTAAATTATCCCTTAATGCAAGAGTACAACAACGATTTCAACTTTTAATACTGCGACGAAAAGTTGTACAAATCACCGGTTTTCTAGGCGACCTACCATACTTTGTGACAATCTTTCGATTCGTGACAAATATATGTGACTGATGTAAAGAAATTGATGTGAGTCGTGTGAACACAACGTTTTGTATGTTCATCTAAACTTTTTTTTTTATATTGCGTTGAAATAAATAACGCAATTTATTATTTTTGGTTTTTGAAAATAAAAATGGATTGTATACGAACGATAAAAAAAAAAGTTAAAGACGTTTACAATCCCCTGTAACGCCGAATTAGAGCGCAGCTTTTGGGGAGGAGGAGGGAGGGGTACTGAGAGTAGAAGGTGGAAAGTCTCCCACTACTAACATGGGTGTGGATCGACGTGTGCTTGACGCAAGTCGCAGAAAATGCACATCTTTGTTGTGAGCATCGCGTGTAAATTTGGCGGCAATTTAGCGAGGCTATTTGTTTTGCTAGACTTAGCGGGCAGATTTCTTCCGCTAGATTTAGCGGGTAAAATTTTTCTGCTAAATTTAGCAGGAAAACGTTTTCTGCCAAATTTAGCGGGCAATTTGTTTCCGCTGAGCGAGGAAATTTTTTTCCGCTAGATTTAGCGGGGAATTTTTGCCGCTAGTGACGTCGCTGACGACGGCATCATCATCGTCAACACTGACGTCACGCGTACCATAATGCACCGCGTGGTTACGAAGCCGGAAACGGGCGTTTAAGAACTGCGCTCTAAAATAACTGTATACACCAACTCATATTTACAAACAAATCGGAGCGCCCATAGCGGAAGCCACCGGCGCCGCGCATGCGCGGTGGGGGTGTGGGCAAGAAGCTCGCCGTCGCCCAAAAACAAACCATTGAAAAGCGATTTTGTCGGCGTCGGTGTGAAGCCGGGAACACATTTGCGAAAAAAAGCCGGATTTTGTGCGAAAACCGCACACGAAAATCGCGCGGCAGCTAAGCTCCTCCCCTTTTCCGAAAATCGGGAGCGGTTCGAAATATCTGCAGCGCCAGATATTTTCGCACGGCGCCTCCGAATTCGGGGCGGAGGAGCTCGGTGAGCGAAAGCCCGGAACAGGACGGAACGAAAAGATACGATCGGCTCGCAACATGGCGGCTCACGCAGCTTCATAGAGATCATATACTAAATCTAGAGGAAAAGGTCCGCCATTTTCCCATACATTCTGGCTGCCGCAAGCGGCGGACCATGCAGGCAGACCCTCTGGGTCCCAAACACGGTTACATCATCAGAGCAGTTTCGTGAACTTCAACAATCCACGAACTTGGAAAGATACTCGCGTTCTTTTCGAAGGCTTCTTTTTGCATAGCGCGCAGATGTACGGCCTCGCGTTAACGCTAAACTAAACCATATACCCGGCTTCGCTGGTGGGGCGCGGCTGGGCGCGGTTGAGGAATACGAAACTGCGCAACCACCAGATTTCCGAGATTTCGACAGAAGGGAAGTTAATGCAGCGTAATGACTTTATTGCTTTTTATAAGCGTTAGAATAGCTCAGAATTTAGTTTACAACGTTAAATTATCACTGTTTATATTGCTGAGAGTTTTCACTCTCCGTGTTTACCATGGCAACGTTGCTTTCTTTCTCTCGTGTTCTGTCGCTCTCTTTTGCGATCGTTCACTCGGGACCCAGGATGTCGGCGCACGGGATTTGCCACTCCTCCTCACCCACCTTTACCCCCCTGCGCAGCTTCGGAAGCAGCGCAGGCAGCATCGTATGCCATCCCTGCGTTCCCGTCTCAACCTTCGTAGAAAACCCCTTCTGTCTTTATCAAAGGATGGTGGTACAAAGGCTCGCGTGGCATTCAACGAGGTTTTAATAGCTGAAGTTTTTAAGAGGCGCGAAATATGGGACGCCAGTTCGCCAGACTACCGCACAGCCTCCTGAAGTCGGAGCACGAAAACCGCAGTGCATTGCGATCTCCGCGCCGCGCATTCCACCTCATGTGGCTCGTCTTCCGAAAATCGCAAGCTACGATTTTCGCAGCCTCCGATTTCTCTCCGATTTTCGGTTTGTTTTTTCGCAAATGTGTTCCCGCCTTCACCCTGCCCTTTTTCGCGTTCGAATTGTTGATTCTACGTCTTCCTGGTGATGTCTGACTACGTGAGCGGTGTCAGCGAAATTACCGAGGCTCGTTGCATAGCAAAACTTCGCATGAATAATGGGCATGTGGCGATTCATTCCGCGTGGACGCCGCAGTATGTACGCTAAAACCTGATTCGCATTATGAGATTTCGCGTGGACGCCGCAGTATGTACGCTAAAACCTGATTCGCATGATGAGATTTCGCTCGCAATTTTCAGTCGCGACGTCTCTCGGGCTGCAAAAGCGTGAACCGTAGCTGAGATATGGTCGAGGTCGATACCGAAAATCGCAAGCAGAATCGGACCAAGTCAATTAGGCATAACAAGTTGGTTTTGGTACACTTTTGGTACGGCCCCAGTCGCGGCGTTTTGACGCTGGAATACACGTCTGGCATGGGGACTTCTGCCCACAGCCCCAGACCGGAAGTGCGCCCGACGCGCCACCACCGCGCCGTGACGTCACAGAGTTGAGTTGGTGTATAGTTACTTGTATTACAGCGGAAATAGCACCTATTGCAACAACGCCGAAAATATATTCCCAATTTAGCGGTTCGACCCGTTTTCAATCATTATTTCGGCTCCATAGAACTAAACCGGAACTAAATCGAAAGCCATGAACCCGAACCGAACCGACAAAAATGTCGGTTCGACACTGTAGAAACAATTTAACTGCGACAAAAACAAAATTTATTTTCAAATGCTGAATTTGAAAATCTCGCGCAAGTCTAGGGTGAACGGATGCCTTTTTGCTATTGCTACCCCAAAACAAAGAAAGCTCCAAAATGTGAATACTGTAACGCGGCTTTCAGTATTACACGGACCCTAATATAATGCCCTGCGTACGACCAATACATTTGCTAACAGTTCTTAAGACTTTACAAATAGCACATCTTTCTGCTAGGTGATGAACCACTCATCCCACACAACCTATTCACTTTTCTCACGGATATCGGCATAGGGCCAATACCTCCTGGGAGATATAGTCACGTGTTCCGGGTACGAAATAAAATACACAGACTGTGATTTTATTTTTTACCCCAAACACGGGACCACATCTCCCCGCAGAGTTTTTGGTTGTGCTCTGCTTTGCCACACGAATAGTATAGTCAGAGCGAAGTGAAAGGCTAGAAGACACGCAAACATAGATTCACGGACTAAAAGCGCAAGGTCACGGCTAATTTAGTTGCTGGTTGTATTTTTGCGCTGTTTGAAGACAAGAGCCCGCTGTCGGTTTTTGTTTTTTAAGACAAGCGCAAGATTGAATTGTATTCAACGCACCCGGAGCATGGAGTGTTCAGCAGCGTCCCTGATTGTTCCGCATGTGAAGGTTCCCTTCCGGATGGCTTGGGCAAGCTTGGCCACGGTGTCCACAGCCTCTTCGAGGCCCGGATGGGCCATGTAGGATATGAGGGTGCCGCTGTAGCCCAGGGAGAGTGTCTGGCCGAACAGTATCCAGACACCCGGCAGCAGGCGACGTCTCCAGGTCCGAGGTATCCGGATGCCTGCAGAATCCATGGGGGGGTTACACTTTCGACATAAACTGGAAAGGTCGGGGAATTTGAAGACGTCATTTTGGTTTTGCGTTTCAGTATGCTGCAGCGATTGGTTGTGTACTTACGTATGTACGTGTGTACGTACTTTGTATGTTGTCTTATTTTTTGTATTGGCTGCCCCCTATAATAATGGCCTAGTAATTAGCATACGATGTAGGTAATCGTATAAAAAATGTACAATTTCTCCACAGCTTGTGAATGGGAGCCTATTTGACATTGATATACTTCGTTCACCCCTAAGCTGACAGTGCGGTGGGAGCTATGCCCTCGCCCGACCAATTAACCGCTTGTCTTTTACAGTGTTGGGAAGTCTTGTATATAAAGTACTACTTCAAGTAGGTTTAGGAAACTTGTACTTTACTTGAAGTACATTCTCTTAGTATGTACTTCTACTTTACTTAAAGTATTTTTTTCTGGTACTTTCCGAGGAAAGTACAATTCCCGACTTCAAAGTACATACCCCAAATTTGGTTTTGTTTCGTTTGCATCACTAAATGATCCGTTAACTCCGGAGAAATACTGGGAGGGATACTCTACTCACACCAGTAACCTGAGCACACGACGCATCGCTCCGTTAGTTCTGGGGGCGGCTTTCCCGTGGATTTTTTTAACTCGAGCTACTTCTCGGTCGGTGAACGCAAGGGAGGAGGTTTCAAATATTAAGAGAGGAAATTAACCATAATGTAGCACCTGAAACTGTGGTGCAGGAAAATCAAACTGAAGTCGAAGAAAAAGACAGCGGAGGAGACCTAATGTTTTGACACATTCTCTTTTGTCTTTTCCTTCGACTTGAAAGTTCCTTAATTTTTTCAAACTCCAACCTCAGGTGTGAAATTGTGATTAATTATCACCAGCTCGCTTGCACATTTATTTTATTTTTTTTTTTTATTAAAGAGAGGACATTCCTCTATGAGAGGATTGCTTGCGGGAGATACAGGGCTGACGTCATGCTGTCTCCTAGTACATTTAACCCCCTTTGCAACAATCCAGTGCAAGAAAACCACTATACAGTGATTTTCAGGAATTTGGCTCAATTCCCGAAAAAAAGGCTCGAGGTAAACCTCAGCACCTTATGAGTTGAAAAGCGAAATCACGCACGGCGCTCTTTGCTCCCTTCTTTAATCTGCGGCGCATGCAACGCTCTGACCTTGGGCGTGGAACGGTGGAGCCGCTGCCTCGCGGACACGCAGCGTCATCGGATGAGCGATTGCTCAGACTGGCGTGTGCCTTGGAACAGACAGCAACGTAGTTCCCAGCAGAACGAACCCCTTGGTTTATCCCATGCGCCGTATATATTGCCACGCGCCCTACAACCGACAAGAGGCGAGCGAACGCAGTGATCAGTGATAACGCAACAGTGTGATAACGCAGTCAGGATGACACCACACAAACTGACGCGCAGCGGGCAACGGGAGCGTCGTCGACTCGCGCGAGCCAATCGGGCCGTAGTGTAAAAGGTGCCGTTGGGTAGCTTTGCGCGTGGTTTCATGAAGGTGCCGTTTTGCATGGTCTCAAAGCTGATGACGTCGGCTCGCTCCATGAGACAGTTAGTGCTTTCGCATTAAAACTACTGTGTCTACTTTATCAAATATTTACCGCTGTTTTTGAAAATAGGTCATGCAGTCCTGATTACCCCTGGGCAGTCTTGTACACGTTACTAAAAAAAAAGTAATCGATTACAATTACTATTACTCTTGGCTAAAAAGTATTCGATTAGATTACTTGATTACTCGACGGCAAAAGTAATTGGACATTACTTAAAGAAGTAATCGTTACTTCTCCGATTACTTTATTGTGTGAAGACACATCTTTAGCGCTCATAACAATGAACTACTTCCAACCTATATTTCACATTTGCACAAGTATTGAAGAAGTAAAACTGGCTCCCTCTTCGTGGTCGTTACACTTTCACTATGCGGACACAAGCATAGAATTCGTTTAAAGACGTTTAATGATTTGGGCGTTCGCCAGTGTGCGTGTGTGGGGGGCGGGGGGGGGGGGGGGGGGGGGGGGTGGGGCGGCGAGAGCGGAGGGGGTTCTAGATCTTGTTAAGCTTGAGCAAGGGTTGTCGCTCAAAGTTTGCGTCGCTCATTTTATTATTCACATCTGGATGAGATCGCATGTTATACAAAAGAGCAGCAGCTCCAGGATTTGAAACGGATCATGTGTAGTATCCATTAGCGGAAGAGATCGCCCCGACCACTTCTCAACTCGAAACATTGCTTGTCACAAAGACCACGTAGGGGAAATGGGGAAATATTTCAACTGCCTTTGCAATATTTCGCATCCGCTTTAGGCATTCTTCGGTTCTGGTTCTGCTACGGGCTGCGAGTAGGTGCCCTAAGAAGGATCTTTTTTTATTTTTTATTTCTGTGTGTGTGTGCGTGAGGGGGCTAGTTTTAACGAAGGACTCACAAAGCTACATTCTGCTTCCTCAAACTTCGCCCTGAATGGCTTTTGTCACGCACTGTGGCTTCCCTAAGGCTTCCCACTCCCAGTCCCAGGTCGAAAAAAAGAAAAAAAGGAAAAGGGACTTCCACAGAAACTGTACATAGAAAGAGATTGACCTCGCTTCCTACAGCTCCGCAAAAATCTTTCTTTTTTCCGTCCGAAAAAAAAAAGCAAATTTTATTTTTGTCATTTCATAAAAAAAGGCGTGTGCCCGGGGGGGGGGGGTCCCGTGGACAAATGTAATGGTTACAAGTAATTTTATTACTTCAAAAAGTAATCAGATTACTCTTGTGATTACTGCCTAATAAAAGTAATCAACTGATTACAAAATTACTCCAAAAAGTAATCGATTACAAGTAATTTGATTACTTGTAATGCGTACGGTACAAGTCTGCCCCTGGGCAATGCATACCATCTAAAAAATCGCTGTTGAAGGGAATTAAAGGGCATCATGAATGATTATGTTAAAATACTTGTACTTTACTTTAAAAGTACATTGTATTTATAGTACTTGACATCAAGTACATTGCACCCAGTGTACTTGATACTTTACTTGAAGTACGCCACGTCTTATTTACTTTGTACTTTACTTGAAGTACCTTTTAGATGTACTTTACCCAACACTGGTCTTTTATCGCAATTGACCCGCTCTCGCCGTCGGTATGGGCGGGAGTGTGACCACGTGGCGAAGGGTTGACGTGAAATTCGTCCAACGAACCCGTGCTTCCACCGCACTGACAATTTGGGAGTGAACGGAGTATAACAACCAGAACACTGAACAACACCTCGGCAGGGCACTCGGGCGTTCAAGCTCGAGATCGGGTGCGATAGAGGGACCTTAGGTCCAAAGTGCGGCGGCAGGCCGTACCAGAGTTTCGAAAATTCAGCACAAGGTGGCGCTATACACGTCTAAATCCAACTGCATTGCCCGTGTGTTTTGTACTCACCTTGTCCCATGAGGATTCGGAATATCTGAACCATGGTGACAAGATAGCTTTCGGTTGGCTGGATCCTTGGTGCTAACTTCGCTTCCAACAAGTTCCTTAGGACCAATAGAAGTGAAGAGATGCTCATGGCCAGAAGCAAACCCACCCATACCTGAAATAATACGGCGATGTTTTGTGAGAATCGGGTGGAAGCACGTCATCTCAGCTGCCAGGCTGAAAAGTTAAATTGTTATCAGCTTTACCTCAATATTAAAAATATTTTACAATCGTCTCATCTCAGTGTGGAAGAAATTATTTTTAACAATAAAATTTCCATTTATTCCATTGAAATCACTTTTTATTTATATACCTTATCTCCCAGTTTTAAACCTCACAGATTACTAAAGTTGAGGCTCGTGCGAATTGGTACTACATGACTCGGGATTAAAAACAGCGCAAATGACGAAGGACCAGACGAAGAAGCAACGCAGCGTTGTGTCCATGCTACTTCTTCGTCTGGTCCTTCGTCTTTTGCGCTGTTTTTAATCCCGAGTCACAGATTAAGTGTAAATGTTTCGATAACTGAGCCTTTGATACACTGCACGGAAAATGTAATTCTCTCTGAATGTATTTACAAAGGCGGCGCCCTCTTGTTTTCTCGAGTGATAGCTGAACATGGTTTAATTGAATGAGTACATCAAAATGTGTGCCATATATGTATTAAAACCTTGTACCACCACATCTAAATCTGAGAGCACTATGCAACACATACGTGACGTAGCTATTTCCAAGGGGTTTGACCTCCTCCTGTTTGCGACACACATTACTCACACGCACTTCTCCCATCTAGCCCACTTTCATCCTGAAATTCTGGAGCTAATGAGAAAGATACCTGATGCAGGTCAATTTTAATAAAATTATTCCAACCAGACTCATGCACATCCCGCACCTTAGAAAGCACCGAACTATAGTGAAGTCAATGAATAACCGTCGATTCCTTGACCGTACATTGACACGCACCCAAGGAAACAACTGTTAAAAAATTCGTGTGATATTAAAAAAAAAAAAAAATGGCGGCCTCGCTGGCTTTTGGTATGTACAGCCATAGCCTCCTCTATACTGACAAAGCCTGGCAGATCGCCACGAGACACGGCCGCCGACAGTGAAAAGGTAGAGCGGCAGACAACGGATGAGAGGAGAGGTATGTAACGGGCGCCCCGCTACAGCGAGAAGTCGAAACACACTCCTCCCGAGCGATGGAATGTCCGCTCGTGCTGCTCGCGTTCCTCGGGCTACCGCTTCTTTCCTCGTCGGGCTTGAAAACCATGTTACGGGTCCTCGCCGTTGCAAAAGATGTTCGCTGACTACAGGCTCCCCGAGAAATGCTCTGTGCTACCAGATCCTCGCGCTCCAAGTCTGTGACCGGGCACCGTATACGGCTCCGTCGTCGAGCTGCCAGGCTTCGTGAGTATAGAGGAGGCTATGGTAGGTAGATATCGGACACGAGTGCTGCATCAGCGTTAGGCTGGGGCTCGTGTTCAACAGAGAGTTTTAGGGAACCGTTTTTGCACGTCCAATACGGATACGATGGGCCCTCCGGTATACGAGCTGCGCATGAGCTACCGCAGAAGTCTCGCAGATGCGCAGTTCGTACCGAAGTGCCCATGGTACCGTATTAGGGAGTTTTCGTAGACCGCGTTTCCCCCTCCGCTATGCCCTCCGCAACGAAGAAGCCGCTACTGCGTCTGCGCGCCGATGGTCTTGACTGGAGTTCCGGGTATCGTAGCGGGTTGCGGAGGACACTGCGGGACGGCGAAATCGATCTACGAAAGCTAACTATTGGGTGTGCAGAAACGGTTCCCTAAAACTCCCTAATGAGGGAGGAAAAGAGCTCCCGTCGGACGCTGACGATACACTCGTGTGACGCGCTCTTCCGTGACAAGAGAGCATCACGGGAAGTGAGCCCCTTCCTGTAACGCGGATCAAACCAATAAATCATTCTGTGATTAAAAGAAGAAAATTTATGGCACATTGTGTGGGCAATTGTGTTGCACACGTAAAACTTTCTAGCAGCATATGACATCAAGTCGCGTGACGTCAATTTCCCCGCTAAATTTAGTGGGGAAACTGAATTTGTGTATAGGTCACGTGACGTCAAATTTTCCGATAAATCTATCGGGGAAACTGAAGTTATGTGACGTCACAGGCCACGGCTTCACGAGATCCGGAGCCGGGGAACGTTTCACGTTACAAACATTTTCGGAGCACGCAGTAGTAGAGATAATTAAGGTTCTAGCATCCACTATGTAGAAAACAGAAAACGCATAGGTAAGAAATTAAGAATGGAAAACTAACAGACAAATGGTCCCAAGGTGGACACTCGGCGAGAAGGTTGGCATGACGGCCGACCGCCGCGATTGGTCGGCGCCGCGCTTGATGGCGCTGGCCAACCATGGCGGTCGGCGATCCTGCCGCCAACGTAAAACCCAATCAGTTTTCTTTCTTTTTTTCGATTATTAGGTTATATAATTAACTAGCGAGTAATGTGTTATCCAGTTTTAAACTGTACCAAACACACGCAGCGCGACATGCACAACACGAACCATCGATCGACGTTCTTTCTCTTTCTTTTCTATTTTTGTTTTAGTACTGAATTTCTGCCATCAAAACAACAGCGTCATGAAGTCATTCGGTACTTCAACGTAACCGAAAAAATATGATGCAATAGTCAATATAAGTGAAATGGGAAAAAGCGCGCGCCTTTGCCATGTTCTCGCCTACTGTATTGTGCAATGTACGTGGTGGCCATAACACATCAGTTACATTGGGGCGCAAAATAAAAAATCTCCCCCCCCCCCCAAAAAAAAATGCTACGTGAATTATATTTATTATATATGCATGTTTATCACAAAAGTCTGATAAATGGCGGAGGAAGTCTTTCTGACGCAGAGGCGGATTCATGGGTTAAGCTTGAGGGGCTTCGGATAGAGATGTAACATCACGAACAGATTTAACGTCACGGACGAATGTGACGTTACATGGGTTAATTGCCATTTCTCTAAGAACGAGGGCATTTCTTCCTAAACAAAAACAAAAAGTATAGGCCCGTCATTTTTCTATAAAAAGAATCACCCTTCCTCGAGACCACTGTTCTGAGATACGTTCCGTACGTACGAAACCTTCGCCGTCTACGACGGCGAAGGTTTCATAATACGAATCAACAGAAGTCTCCCCCAGAAGTGTAACGGATACACCCTGTTTGAAAAAGGTGCTAATTTTCATTTCACTCTGCTGGCGAGGCCGGGATGTGCCGGCCGCGGAGCAACACCACCTAGTGTGCTGGCTGTAGACTGCCGCATCCTTTGGGTTTTGCTTTGCTCACGCGCTTGGAGAAGGGTCTGAAGACGACTCCAGTCCTGCTGGCCGTGGACGGTGCCCGGATGACGAAGGTGGTGCGATCCAGAAGGTAGCTGGACGAGAACTGGACGTGCCTCTGGCGCTCGGGAAGCACGCTCACGCCGCCCGCAGCGGCGTCCACTTCCTGCGTACGAGGTTCCTTTTTCGCTGATTTGCGTTCCGATTTCGCACTGTTTTGCAATTCGTACCCGTCGGACAAGCATGCCAATCATGCCATTCCATGTTCCATTCAGTTCGTTGCCCCACTTGCCATCGAGTGGTCGCACCAGCCGATACCTGGACAGAACATTCCCTGAACATGGCAAGGCTGTCGAATTGCCCAGTGATTTCCCTACCCACCTCCTAAGGAAGGGGAGGAGCGTGGCTTTCACAGCGTTTGTCCGCGTGGGCGTATGTACCTATCGGTGCGCTGGTGTATGCTCGTCTCTTTGACAGCGGAGGGGCTAGGTTCCCAAGGATCGTATCCGGTACCAAACAAATGTCGACACAGCACTCTGGATGCTGCCGTCGCTCATAGATGGCGGTAGCTGTCCAGAGTGTTGTGTTTGCCGGTTGTCTGCTTGCCGCCGTCGCTCATAGATCGCGGCAACTTACCATCCTCGGCAACCAGACAACTAGTTTCTGCCGTCGCTCATAGATGGCCGGCAACATTTCCAGCCTTTCCACTCTGGCTTGCCGACTTGCGGACGGCCTTTACTTCATTCCCACCACATATAGTACAGCTTCGCTGGTCTTCCTTCTTCACCAGAGTGGAAAGGCTGAAAGTTTTTTGTCTATAGGTTCGCTTTATTACCAGTATTTTGCCGCATATACTTGCCTGGTTGTACTTGCCTGGTTGGCACTGCGTTGTACTTATTGAAAGGGAAGAATAAATGAACCGAACCAGTCCGACCTTTTGCAATGAGATGTTGGCAGTTTCAGCTGTCGAGATGGCAAAAATAATCTATTTTGTTAAAATTATAATTTGAATTATTATTATTATTATTATTATTATTATTATTATTATTATTATTATTATTATTATTAATGTTATTAATATTATTATTATTTTGCTTGATACTGCTTTATAATGAATGCTTTATCATACCAAATATATAATGCTTTATAATGAATGCTTTATAATACCAAAGCATTCATGACTTTCGTTCTACGCAAGCGCATTGCTTAAATGCATTAACCTACTCCCGTTTGCGGTATGGCATAACTATTTTTGGTAAGTGATCCAAACTATGGCGAAAGAAAATCAACAGTGTATTGAAGGGAATACTGAGAAGCGTGGGGTACAACCGAGGTTCTTCGGATTTAGATGTTTTTCAAACTCCATCAATGCCAATTTTTCAGCCCCTTATTTCTGAAGACAGTTGTGCTCATTTACATCTGGAATGACGATTTTAAGTCTCCACGCCCCATCTCATGAAACTTGCGAAAAGCTTCAAGATTCCTCACTCCGATACGTTATACCCGCTACGGCAAAAATGCGCGTTCGTACTACGTCCCTCAAATTTTTAACCTATTGCCACCAAGCCTTTCAAAGATTACTTCCAAAAAGAAACTCGGAAAGGCATTCCGCACACTTTTCATCGATGAAGAGGCCTTAAATATATAATTTTCTTGTTTCGTCATAATTGGTGTTGCTTCCTTACATGAATCTTTCTTCGAGTCAACATTATTTGTGTAGTGTAATGCAGTAATGTCTGTGTACTTGTGCGTGCGCGTATGTGCGTGTGTGTGCATGTGTATGACTCCTTCTATCATCAAGTTCTTGTACTATACGACTGTCACTTTGCCATATAAACCTCTTTTTCCCTTCTACTAGAAAAATAGCTTATATTTGTACTGTATATTTTTTTCCTTGACTTTGACAATAACTTTCTGGCTGACATTTTTGTGTAGTTTTCACAACTCGAAACCACGTGGTGTTTTTCTGCTTGATTTTATTATTTTCCGAAACTTCCTTATTTACCGCTGCTACTTAGGCTCAGTCCTACAAGCCCCTGCTGGCTTCGACAAACCTGCCTAGTGCCGTCCTGAATACATATTGCGTAAATAAATTTATTATTATTATTATTCATTATTATTATTAGTATTACTTATGGCATGGACTGATCGGACATTTGACATTTTAGCACGAGATGGCCAATAAAATACCAAAATTCGAGAAATATTAGCTTGCTATGTCTAGTTTTCTGACAGTCCATTTTACTTTTTTCTTCTTATACGTACATAGAGCTTTACTGATAGTTCGAATGTACTATACATACACGTCCGCTCTCTCGAGTCTTTAAAGTGATGCATAATAGACGCGAAATACCTCAACAAATGCGTTTATATGAGCATAGGTCACGTGTTCTTCATTGTTTTCAATTACGATCTCTTAAAACGTGGTGCGATATTCTCGTATGCCGATTCGAGAATTTCCTTTGGAGGCT